CCAAATAATCCTTCTTTTTTTTTTTCTGTAAGAAATACTGTCTTACATAAGGACATTTTTAATTGCTATCTCCCTTTTGCAGGTGGTGACAGTAAAACACTTATGATAGTCCAGGTTTCTCCAGTGGAGAAAAATGTGAGTGAAACAGTCTGCACTTTGACCTTTGGTCAGAGAGTCCGGAATATTGAGCTGGGTACAGCTACAAGAAAAGTGGAAACTGTAAAGGTAATGTAACACTCTGAATAAGTTTGTTGTTATGCAGTAACTATATGTCTTCACTCTGTATGATTATATACATTGCAAAATCTATTCTCTGTTTTACAATAAGTAGGAACTCTACATTTAGATTCTAAAATAAATACAAAATATTTCAATATATAATTGATGTTTTATTAGATTCTAAAAAGATTTACATATATAATCTTTAATTAGATTTGAAAAGATTTTACTCTAAAATAAAATAAAGAATTATCCTATGTTATAAAAAAAAAAAATTCTTTGTTTGGTGTAATGCACAAATTGTAAGACAAATTTCCATACGGACAATAAAGATTATTTTTATTATTATTATTATTATACTACAAACAATTTAGCAAATGAAATAAAAACAACAATAACAAGTATTTGCATTAGTGCTATCACTCATCTTCACAGAAACAGGAAACAAACAAATAAATAAATAAATAAGGGAACCTACATGAATGATAGTTCTGCATGATTGTAAAAATATAAAATGAATTTTTCTTGTTCTAGTTCATGGTTCATGCTCTCTCTCTCTTTCTCTTTTTTCTCTAACTCTCTCTTTCTCTTTTATTAATGTGAACTAAAGCAGTGTCTTTATAAACAAGCAAAAATCTCTCTTATTTAGAAAACATCAAGGATTTCTTTTACATATTAAAATGTAGAATTCATACATTAAATTCATACGTTGATGACTTTTTATTTTTTCTAACTCTTGAAAAGAATAGCACTAACACAGTTTATCCTTATATTTTAATCAGTACATACACAAAAATTATGATGTGACTTAATCCTTTTGACTCTCAGAAGAGTATAGGGCTGCAACAGTAATTGATCATTGGATACTATTCACTATTCTCTAAATGTCCATCAGTTGGGTCTATGTCCATCCTGCAATTTTTGCTTCTTGTTTCATGTTGCTTTGTATGTTTTTTTTCAATCATTGGCTAGTAAAAAAAGCACTATTTACAATTATATTTATATTTTGATTAGTACTTACATGCAATTATAGACTAATACAAAAATAACACTCATACTTATATTTTGATTAGTACATACATTAAAAACATCACAATTGAACATTGTTTCTTGTTTCCTCAGTCTTCACTTTTAACTCCTGGAAGACCAACAAGCCTTTCCCTTAGTTTACCAGCTTCACCCACCACCTCAGAGGCATCCACTCCTCAATCATCTCCTCGCTCTCCACTTTCGATGTCCTCATCCACGCCTCAGCTGAACACAAGGAAGAGAGTATCCTCCGCCAGCCAAAAACTTTCAACCTCAGGAGGAAGAATGTATGCTTCATCTTCTCTGACATCAGTGAGGACCACAACCACGCCATCCTCTTCCCCACCAACCACAGCGAGGAGATTGACCAATCTGGCTACCAAGCAGGAGGTGACGCCCACATCCAAATCAAATGGTTATTCCATGATCAACAAATCCAATCTGGCCTCTAGGCTAGTTAAATCTGCCAGCTCTCCACAGAATCTTAGTGCCAGAATTGACAGAAGATAACAAAGCTTTTTGTTTGTCTATCACCACTTTAGTGTCTCAAGTGAATTGTAATCATTTGATGAAATATGTAAATTATTGCTTTTATATTATTCACAAGATATTAGTCTTTGGTTTGCTTAGTTATTTTATGCGTATTTATTTGGTGAATACAAGAATCTAATTACTATAATAATAATAATATCAATATCTTCGATTATGAAAATAAAGAATGAGTGCAGTGTTTCATATGCCTATGCAGACCAAGTTGTGACCTGCATATTTTGCATAGCTAATTTAAGTAAAGTTATAATATTCGAGACCTAAAGAATAACTCTTGTTGAAGACAGGCACAGAAGACAAAAAGAAAACTTAAATAGACACCCAGTAGACACTGGCTTTGCCAGCATCAGATGTGGAAAAATATACAGATTGCAACTGGGTTTGCATAGTCATGTGATACACTGCACTCATCCTTAATCTTCAGAATCGAAGACATTGCCATTTAATTAAAATTATAACATTATATAACATATTTCTAGCTTTCAACTGGCTTGTTTTATAGTTTACAAGAAATCCTTAGATTATTAGTAAATTTAACTCTTTTGGTAATGATTAAAAAAAAGTTTTCCAAATACATTTTACAATGTACATATTAGGCTCCTAACACACCTGATAATATTAAAAGAGTTAAAATTTTCTGCTTAAAGAATGTGGTCATCTTGAAACAAAATATCTGATAATGTAATGATGGTACTTTTCTTGAGTAACAAAGTACAATTACAAACGCTTATCTGTAGTGTATGTATATATATAGATGTATAGTATATTATTTATATTTATCCAATATCAATTTATTAAGTGATCCTTGTTTTTTCACAGAAATGACCTTTTTAGCCAGTCTTCTTAGCGATAGCAAATAATCCATCATCTCTGGTTAAAACTATATTTTATGAGGCACTTTTGGTAAATGGTCACCTTCTGAGCAGAATATTTGAAGTTTGAATCCATCTTAAGGTTGTAGTTTTGGATTTGTTCTTTTTACTGAAATTTTGAGACAATGTGCTTACAATAAAAAATACATTTTCTATCAATAGCTGGTAGATTGGAATAGATTACATTTTCTCTATCTATACCTGGTAGATTGGAATAGGTTACATTTTCTCTATCTATATATGGTAGAGTGGAATAGGTTACATTTACTCTATCTATATAGATTGAAATAGGTTACAGTTTCTCTATCTATATATGGTAGATTGGAATAGGTTACATTTTCTATCAATAGCTGGTAGATTGGAATAGGTTACATTTTCTCTATCTATATATGGTAGATTGGAATAGGCTACATTTTCTCTATCTATATGGTAGATTGGAATAGGTTACATTTTCTCTGTCTATATATGGTAGATTGGAATAGGTTACATTTTCTCTATATATGGTAGATTGGAATAGGTTACATTTTCTATCAATAGCTGATAGATTGGAATAGGTTACGTTTTCTATCAATAGCTGTTAGATTGAAATAGGTTACATTTTATATCAATAGCTGATAGATTGGAATAGGTTACATTTTCTATCAATAGCTGGTAGATTGGAATAGGTCACATTTTCTATCAATAGCTGATAGATTGAAATAGGTTAAATTTTCTATCAATATCTGATAGATTGGAATAGGTTACATTTTCTTTCAATATCTGATAGATGATTGATTGGAATAGGTTACATTTTCTATCAATAGCTGATACATTGGAATAGGTTTCATTTTCTATCAATATCTGATAGATTGGAATAGGTTACATTTTCTATCAATATCTGATAGATTGGAATAGGTTACATTTTCTATCAATAGCTGATACATTGGAATAGGTTACATTTTCTATCAATAGCTGATACATTGGAATAGGTTACATTTTCTATATCAATAGCTGAAACATTGGAATAGGTTACATTTTCTATTAATATCTGGTAGATTGGAATAGGATACACTTTCTATCAATATCTGATAGATTGGAATAGGTTACATTTTCTATCAATATCTGATAGATTGGAATAGGTTACATTTTCTATCAATAGCTGATACATTGGAATAGGTTACATTTTCTATCAATAGCTGATACATTGGAATAGGTTACATTTTCTATATCAATAGCTGAAACATTGGAATAGGTTACATTTTCTATTAATATCTGGTAGATTGGAATAGGTTACATTTTCTATCAATAGCTGATAGATTGGAATAGGTTACATTTTCTATATCAATAGCTGATAGATTGGAATAGGTTACATTTTCTATATCAATAGCTGTTATTTGGAATAGGCTACATTTTCTATATCAATAGCTGGTAGATTGGAATAGGTTACATTTTCTATCAATAGCTGATACATTGGAATAGGTTACATTTTCTATCAATAGCTGATACATTGGAATAGGTTACATTTTCTATATCAATAGCTGAAACATTGGAATAGGTTACATTTACTATCAATAGCTGATACATTGGAATAGGTTACATTTTCTATATCAATAGCTGTTATTTGGAATAGGCTACATTTTCTATATCAATAGCTGATACATTGGAATAGGTTACATTTTCTATCAATAGCTGATACATTGGAATAGGTTACATTTTCTATATCAATAGCTGAAACATTGGAATAGGTTACATTTTCTATTAATATCTGTTAGATTGGAATAGGTTACATTTTCTATCAATAGCTGATACATTGGAATAGGTTACATTTTCTATATCAATAGCTGATAGATTGGAATAGGTTACATTTTCTATATCAATAGCTGTTATTTGGAATAGGCTACATTTTCTATATCAATAGCTGGTAGATTGGAATAGGTTACATTTTCTTATATCTGATAGATTGGAATAGGTTACATTTTCTATCAATAACTGATACATTGGAATAGGTTACATTGTCTATATCAATAGCTGATAGATTGGAATAGGTTAAATTTTCTATTAATATCTGGTAGATTGGAATAAATTACGTTTTCTATCAATAGCTGGTAGATTGGAATAGGTTACATTTTCTATATCAATAGCTGATAGATTGGAATAGGTTAAATTTTCTATCAATAGCTGGTAGATTGGAATAGGTTACATTTTCTATATCAATAGCTGGTAGATTGGAATAGGTTACATTTTCTATATCTGATAGATTGGAATAGGTTACATTTTCTATCAATAGCTGATACATTGGAATAGGTTACATTTTCTATATCAATAGCTGATAGATTGGAATAGGTTACATTTTCTATATCAATAGCTGGTAGATTGATAGCTATGTTTGTAGTACAAATATAATGTACTATTAGCTCTTTACAAACTATGTTCAATATTTATCAGCTTATGAAACTAAAGTAGCATACAGTGATGACCATGATGCACCTTTGGTAATAGCAAGTAGCTCACATGGTTTCTTTGCCAGTGGTTCCCAGTTTTCTATTAATGTTGCCGTTGTTGAAAGCATTTTTTTTTTCTCAAAATGTTTTTTTATGTTTTCTCCAGTGTTCTACGCCATGTAAAAAGAAATATTTCTGTTCCGCTGGTAATGCTCCCCCTTTTTATATAAATAGATATGATTTCTTTAGGACAACTATTTTGATTAACTTTGTAGTTGAATATTTGGTTTGTGAAATAAATTATTATTTTTATTTTGAAGTGTTTGGTTCTTGAAACCTGAGCTTATATATTAATAACTATAAATAATTAATATATATATATATATATATTTAAGGGAGAGAAAAAATAAGTTCAATTAGGGCCTCTATGAAACTGATTACCTTGAAGACTGGTTAAGTTCAATGAGGGCCTCTATGAAACTGATTACCATTGTTATGGCATGATTAGCAATTTGTCTTTAGTTTCAGAGAAAGGAAAAGTTTGGACTTAGAGACAGAGACAATGACGTGACTAGTAAACACAAGACTAGGATTTGAGGAAGAATTGCGAAACGTAAACAGAATAAACCTACTACTGAAAGCTTTAAAGAGGGGGTAGTTTTTATAAAACACGTCTTGTGTTATCAACGTCGACTATCTTGTATTGTTGGCCTTTCGCCTGTGTTCTTGGATTTCGTCATTTGAGTCTTACCTCCGTTTGACTTACTGCATAAGACACTGATTGTGTTCTATGAGGCCCCTGGCACACCGATTACCATGAAGACTGGTAATCTTCTATGAGGACATATGAAGTTGGTTGTTTTCAGAAGAAAAAAAAAAGCATTCTCTCACGGGTTCGCTTACCCCAAAGTTATTATGTAAGCTACAGCAAAGAATTAGCTTTGTATCACCAAATGGTCTACTTACAGCGAAGGCTCAAAGTGGTCTATGCACAGTTCAGGGTTAGTTTTATTGAAGTTGATGTACAAGGGAAAGTATACAATCAATTTGTCCCTGGAAAAAACTTTTTAGTTAATTATTTGTATCTCTCTCTTTCTCTCTCTTTTTTCTCTTTTTTTTTTCTCTCTCTCTCTCTTCCTTTCGTTCTCTCTTTCTCTTTCTCTCTTTTTTCTCTCTCTCTTCCTTTCGTTCTCTCTTTCTCTTTCTCTCTTTTTTCTCTCTCTCTTCCTTTCGTTCTCTCTTTCTCTTTCTCTCTTTTTTCTCTCTCTCTTCCTTTCGTTCTCTCTTTCTCTTTCTCTCTTTTTTCTCTCTCTCTTCCTTTCTTTTTCTCTTAAGATCTCTCTCTCTCTCTCTCCACTTCCTCGCCTCTTCGCTCTTTCTTTTTCATGTAAAATTCTGAAGTTTAAGCTAAGAACCACGTGAAATTGGTTGCCTGAGCCAGCCAGGAAAACCAGTGACTAAACAGAATATAAGTCATGACTAGATGCATGACGCGTAGGACGTTATCATCTTCAGTTTTGAAGTAACGTCTGTATTATATAAGATATGAAGCGGGCAAAGTTAATCCGTTTTTAAATGGCTGTGAAATTGTTTTCATTACTTCCCTTACTTTATAGTATGACACTTCCTGATAACTTACCCAGAACCAAAGCTGGATGCTTTGGCGCAGCTTCCAGGGCTGAGATCATCGCTTTTTTCGCTGTCAATAGTTTTCTTTATTACCACCTCTTCCCACATAGTACTTAGGCTATGTCTTATCAGTAATCAAGATGTCTGTACACTGCCTTAAGGTCCCATTTGATTACATCTAGATACCACTGTATAGAGGAAGAACGAATCCCCAAGCTCACCCTCAACTTGCGACTGATACAAGAAAAATCTTGTCGCCCCCTCATCAGATATATAGATATGTACTATATAACTATATAAACTGCGGTAGAAAAAAGTATAGGGATAAAATGTTTATTGTGACAAGTGTTTATGTTTGTATTCTTATTGCCAAATTTTCCTTGCACTAAAACACGCGCACTAATATCAAAAAAATGCCTGAAAAAAAAAAGTGCAACAAAAAAGAACATTTTTTTCGGACTCAATGATGACTATTTGTAGGCCTAAATCTGTTGCTGTATTCTCAGGGTGACCCGTAATTTTGTCTTCGTTGAGTTAACCTGGAGTTCTTAATTGACAGAGAAACATCGCAAGTAAAGAGTGGCTCATAATAGCTGACTAGAGATCAGCATCTAGGTGCAAATACTTTAATACACAATAAGGGATCAAGTCTTCTGTCCAGCTCCAGTGGCCTCAACGTGGCGCATCTTCAGAATGGGGTTCTACAGCCATATGAAATTGTCTTCTAGTAAAAAGTAACTAAATGAACCATAGTCGTTCTACGACTGAAGGAGGCCGTATCGAATATAGTATACAATCTCACCCCCTCCTCGGTGGAAACGTCTTGTAGTGGAACTAAATGGTCGAATAAATGATATCGAATACGGCCTCCGTCGCGTTATCTTTTTATTTTTTATTATTTTTTGTTCATTTCAATTGGGGTGAGGATGGAAGTAGCCCAGTCCAACAAGACCGTCATACAGTTACACAAAAGAGGGTCGTCCTAAACAATTGCTTCACTGTTCAAGATAATTCTAATTTATGAAGAAATTCGTAGCCGGGCCAACTCGAGATCATGCGACAACTTGCGTGGTGCCCCAACGGTCCAACAGATAGGTCAAAGGTAAACATTTAGTGGAAGACTTGAAAGTGTCAAAGATGTTCTTGTTTTTAATAAGAGAATATTAAAAATCTAAAAAAAAATCAACTGGTATTAATGCGGCCCTTTCGGTAACCCTACCGGGCAAATTGGGTACCGGCCCACCGAGCATTTGCCCGAATGTCTAAATAGTCAGTCCGCTCCTGGTAGCTGTCACTGTATAACCTTTAGAAAGGACTTGGTATGAAAAGCACCCGGTCCACGCTTGTCCGGTCAAAAAAACCCTTTCTAAAGGTAATCAACAAAAGTGTGCCTTTGGCGCCGCATTCCTGCTGCACTTTGTACAAGGTACACCCTCAGACGAGAAGTACTATTTCCTGCTGCACTTTGTACAAGATACACCTCAGACGAGAAGTACTCTTTCTAAAAATGACATCAAATCGATCAAATAGTTTAGTTTCTCTGTCAAATTAGTACACTCTAGTCGAAAAGGACAAGAGTGACTCATGGACAAACTGGTCATGTTCTCCTAACAAGAGTCTGTCATGATTTCCACGAATTAAGAGAGTAGATAGAATGACACACGACGGCAGTGTACATGTGACAGTGCACACGAAGACACAGCAGAATAAACCAGTGTAACGTATCAGAAATATTTGTTTCAGAAATGTTGGTTGAAATCAATTAGAATAAAAAAATTGTATGTCTTCTAAAGACGATCTATGTGTGTATATAAAAGCATATGGAATTTTAGATATAAAGACAGACAGACAGGCAGACACATAGATAGATAGATAGATAGATAGATAGATAGATAGATAGATAGATAGATAGATAGATAGATAGATAGATAGATAGATCAGGTATCCCCAGCATCTTTACAGCCCTCAGACAACGCCGTTTGCGCTGGCTTGGACATGTTCGCCGGATGGAAAACAAGCGCATCCCGAAAGTCATCCTCTATGGTCAACTCGCGACTGGCACAAGAGAAACTGGTCGCCATCACCTCCTTTACATAGATGTAATAAAACGTGACCTCAAATCAGTGAACATCAATACTGACAATTGGGAAGACATAGCTCTAGACCGCAACAGATGGAGAGCGACAGTAACCAAGAATGCTATGGACAATGAAAGTACATGGGTCTCAGCTCAGGAAGAAAAACGTACAATCCGAAAAACGGCCAGCTCCTCTACCACCGAAGCAAAAGCCACCTTAACCTGCTCTATCTGTGGACGGGAGTGTCTCTCCAAATTAGGGCTCCACAGCCACATGACGAAGTGTGCTCTGAGATGAACCATAGTCGTTCTACGACTGAAGGAGGCCAATGATGATGATGATGAGATAGATAGATAGATAGATAGATAGATAGATAGGTAGACAGATAGTAATTAAGTATCGCCTGTTAAGTATTGTTATCTAGTCCGGAGATTAATCGAGTACAGTAATTTAGATGTTTATGCAGTCGCAGCAGTGATATCCATATTTAATTAAAGCCTTTGTCAGTGTGTGTGTGTATGGGGGGGGGAGGGCTCTTAAGTTCTCTTTTAGTCGTTTGCACCTGTTATTGGTATTGTGAAGGTAGTATACTATCTATATAAAAATGTAATATAAATATAAGCTTGTTTTTGTTTGTTTAAAAAGTGGTGACCTAGTTTCCACCACGAGGCTGTGAAGTGAACACCACAACGGTGTCAAAAATACGGAATTGAAACAAAGTCATAGCATTGGTCAGGATTCGAACTCATGAATCGAAGGTGAATGGCTGCATCACGGATACCGCGCCATATGCACATACAAACAACGTGTGGAAATGAATTATGTCGAGCGTAGCCAAAAGGGGTTTGAGTTTAAAGCTAAAAAAAAATAACTCTTCAATATAAAACTATCCATACATCAGTCACCAGATTCTAGCTAAGAGGAGTTTTCTGTTTGTCGCGTGAACGATTTGTCGTGAACCAACTGTCGGTGAACAAATTGTCGCTGAACAAGTTGTCTGTTAGCAAGTTGTCGGTGAGCCATATGTCGGGTGAACGAATAGTAGTGTGAACGAATTGTCGGGTGAATGAATTGTCGGGTGAACGAATTGTCGCATGAACGAAAAGTCGTGAACGATTTGTCGGTGAACGAAATGTCAGTGAACGAATTTTCATGGAACCATTTTAGGGTACAATGAACGAAATAATGAAGGGTCAGAATGTAATAAAGATTAATCATGTACAAACAAACAAACAAACACGCACACATATACATACACACATACACACATACACACACATACACACATACACACACACACACACATACACACATACACACATATACACACACACAGACACACAGACACACATACATACACACATACACACATTACACACACACACACACAGACACACATACACACATACATACATACATACATACATACATACATACATTAACATATATATATATATATATATATTGGCGGGGGAGGGGGGAGAAAAATCCCCCCGAACCCACCCCACTCCCCTAAAAAAATCCTTGCTACGCCCATGAAGTCGAGATTGCTTTCTTGGTTACTTAAATGCTACTCTTTATTTCGTAAGTCATGAATACATTTTTT